CACCTCGACCTCCCAAAGTGCTGGGATTACAGGTGTGAGCCACCACGCCTGACCTTATTTATTATTTTTGAGACAAAGTGTCGCTCTGTTGCCCAGGTTGAAGGAAAATGGTGTGATCTCAACTCACTGCAACCTCCACCTTCCTGGTTCAAGGGATTCTCCTGCCTCATTCTCCCAAGTAGTTGGAACTACAGACATGTGCCACCATGCCCAGTTAATTTTTGTATTTTTAGTAGAGACAGATTTTTACCATGTTGGCCAGGCTGGTCTTGAACTCCTGACCTCAGGTGATCCACCCAACTCAGCCTCCCAAAGTGCTGGGATTATAGGCACTTTGGGAGCTGAGTTGGGTGTGACACCACACCCTGCCTGCACCTCATTCTGCAAGGCTGAATCCTCTACTTTCCTGGTTCTCTCCTTTGTGCTGGTAGGAGGGGAGGCTGGGAGAAAATCGGAGAGGTCGTCATGATCAGTAAAAAGACAATTGAAGGGAGATGATCCAATCCTGTGGTTCTGGACTCTGAAGTGGTCTTTACTGAAAACAGCAGAGATCCTAGGCTCAGACCTGTGGCAAAATAGCTTGGAATTTAGGAGTCTCAGATTTTTTTCAGATTCTCCCAGGCTGGAGTACAGTGGTGTGATCTCGGCTCTCTGCAACCTCTGACTCGCAGGCTCAAGCCATCCTCCCACCTCAGCCTCTTGAGTACCTGGGACTACAGGTGAATGTCACCACACCTAGCTAATTTTTGTAGAGACAGGATCGTCCTGTCTTGCCCAGGCTGGTCTTGAACTCCTGGGCCCAAGCAATCTGCCTGCATCAGCCTCCCAAAATGCTGGGATTACAGGTGTGAGCCACTGCACCCAGCCTCATATTTTTTGTAATAACTTTAAATCAAGATTGAAGGCCAGGCATGGTGGCTCATACCTGTAGTCCCAAAGTTGGATTTGATAGTACAAAATTTGAGATTGTAATTTGTAATCCCAAAAGTAGAATTTGGGCATGGGCTGATTTTTTTTTTTTTTTTTTTTTGATAGAGATGGGTTTTACCACGTTGCCCAGTCTGGTCTCGAACTCCTGGGCTCAAGCGATCTACCTGCCTTGGTCTCACAAAGTGCTGAGATTACAGATGTGCCTCGCCTAACCTGGTTGTTGTTTTTTATGTCTCCTTTAATGCACAGGTTCTCTCTCTCATTTTTTTCCCTCTTCCAATAGGTTTTGTTGGAGAAAATGGATATTTTTGTACTGTACAACTTTCCAGTCCGTGCTTTGCTGATTCTATCCTGGGGGTGCTATGTAAGACACTCCTTTGTTCACTGACTTCTTGTAAATTGCCAATTTCACCCAGAGGTCTGATTGAAGTTCAGTGTTTTTGCAGGGTGCCTTCTCAGGGAATGTTGTGAATGTTCACCCAGAGGTGCACGGAATCTGCTTGTGTTAATCTCTTTCAGTGATGTTCCAAGCCGTTCGTGATCACTGACTAATCCATTATTTCATTAGGAGTTGAAAATGGTAATACTGGAATTCTATTATTCATTTCTTCATTTATGTATTTATTCTTTTTTCTCCCCCACAACCCACTCTCCTACCCTACTGACTCCTTTCTTTGGTTATGGGGTGGACGGCTGTGTAAGAGAACTTGCTTCTTCAACTATGAGGTTCACTTATGGTTTCTATAAGAAAGGCAGAATAAAGGATTTCTCTTTATTATCATTTTTCAAATTGTTGAGTTGGCTACCTGGGGTCCTCCACAAGTGACCAATTATTTAAGACACCATTATGAAATCATGGATTGAAACATATTTGACATACTTCAGTTCACTATGGTCCGTTATAGTTATTAGTCTTATGAATGCTCAAATTGTCGCGTCTTTGGCAAGTGGGAGTATTTTCACCTCTTTTTGACATAAAGAGACTTTGATAGCTTTTTGAGTTTCTGATTTGACTAGATATCCAAGCACATCTTGTACATTTCCATTCCCAGTCTGAGGCCAAGCATGTCTTCAAGAAGATCTGATTCAGCTGAAGGGAAATGACAGTGCGCCAGGAATGCTCGCTGCTGCTGGGTTGGTCCTTGTTTCTAGGGCCTTTTAGTGGGAAGAAAATACAAACATATTTTAAAAATAAACTCATTCTCTGTTTATACTAATGCTTTCTTTATTTTTATTTATTTTTTTACTAGCTCCAGAATCAAGGAAAATATTTATACTAATACTTTCAATTCAAATAGAGGCTCTCAGTGTTCTTATATAACTTCATATGTAAAGGGCTCTTTACATTCCTTTTTCTGTGAAGTGAGTGTTTATGTTTTTAAGTTGAGTTGGTTTTTCTCTTCTACTTTTATTATTATTATTATATTTTAACACTTGCTATGGACTAGGGGATCCCTCTACTTTTAGATGCTCTTTATGTATTAGGGATCTTAACCATTTGTCTGTAATACGTTTGCCATTTGTCATTTTACTTTGCTTATGGTAATATTTTTTTCCTTGCAAACTTCATATATCTTACATCTGTTTTTTTCTCTCAACCAAATATTCTAGTTTCCAAATCCACCACCGTTTGCTTTATCCCTCAATACTTACACATACTCTTTTTTTTTTTTTTTTTTGAGACGGAGTTTTGCTGTTGTTACCCAGGCTGGAGTGCAATGGCATGATCTCGGCTCACCTCAACCTCCACCACCTGGGTTCAAGCAATTCTCCCGCCTCAGCCTCCCGAGTAGCTGGGACTACAGGGGTGCACCATCGTGCCCAGCTAATTTTTGTATTTTTAGTAGAGACGGGGTTTCACCATGTTGACCAGGATGGTGTCTCGATCTCTTGAACTCGTGATCCACCCGCCTCGGCCTCCCAAAGTGCTGGGATTATAGGCGTGAGCCACCGCGCCCGGCCTTATACGCACTCTTAAAATAACCACAGCAATATTATCACCATTAATATGATAATGCTTTTCCATGAAAGGGCCGTACATGCAAAGTGGCCCCCAAAGGACAAAGGAGCTGAGAAACCAAAGAGCAAGGTAGACAATTCCAGTTTATTGCTAAAGCATGTTTTATTGGCGAACTTACAGATAGAAGCATGCCCATGGCAGCTGCAAGACAGATATATCTCACTGTTACCCTCAAACCCAAGGCTTATAAACCATAGGGAAAGAGTATATGTGCTTAGTGCAAGACAAAGGCAACTGTCTGGAACAGGCTAGAATGCTATGTGTGTCACAGCCTATAATTTGTGTGATAACATCAAGGTTGATACATTCTTAGACTAGGGACAGTAGTAAATAAGGTAGGAATCAGGAATCATTCCTGGAACTGAGGCCAATCAGATATCAACATGGCTGATTAGCATCCAAGATGGAGCCTCTTTTGTCTCCACAGTAAAACTATTATTTCAGTTTCTTTTTTGTTTTTCCTTAGGGTATATCTCACTAGGAATATATAATCAAATTGCAGTGGTCTAAAGTTGTTTGAGACAGTTTTTTCTCTGTAATTATATCACTAACTCCCTGTGCAGATAGTCTTTTATTTTTAGAAATTTAAATATATACACACATATATATATATATATCCTTAGATACAGAGTAGCATCCAGATTTCCCCTCTTTTCTTTTTTTTTTTAAAATGAACACTGAGATACAATTTACATACAGTTTGACTTTTGTTTACTCGACAGTAGGTGCTGTCAATCAGTCCATGGCGGTATGTAGAGGTATTCTTTGTTCTTTTTTTTAATGCTCCATAGTACTTCATATTTAATTCAAGCAGCCCCTTGTTGTTAGACATTTGGGTTATTTCTAGTTTTTATTTATTTATTTTTAAAATTTGAAATAGAGATGGAGTTTCACCATGTTGCCCAGGCTGGTCTTGAACTCCTGGGCTCAGGCAATCAGCCTGCCTTGGCCTCTCAAAGTGCTAGGATTATAGGGGTGAGCCACCATGCCTGGCCTATTTCTAGTCTTTTGCCATTACAAACAGAGCTGCAATAAATAGCCTATGCAAATGCTTTTTCATATTTTTGCCAGTGATATTTTGGAACAGTTTCCTAGAAGTGGTATTGCTAGAAATGCGTATGTAACTTTGCTAGATATAGCCAATCAAATTCCCTTCCATAGAGGCTGCCTCATTTTGCATTCCTAGTCACAATGTATTAGAATGCCTGTTTCCCTATAGCTTTGCCAACTAAGTGTATTGACAAATTTTTGGATTTTTGCTGATCTGATAGGTATAATATGTTACCTTAGGATAGTTGTTTTGTTTTTTGTTTTTGAGAAAGTGTCTTGCTCTTTTGTCCAGGCTGGAATGCACCTTGAATTCCTGAGCTCAAGTGATCTTTCTGCCTCAGCCTTCCAAGTAGCTGGAACTACAGGCCTGCGCCACCATGCATGGCTAATTTTTTTTAATGGAGTCTCACACTGTTGCCTGCGCTGGAGTGCAGTGGAACAATCTTGGCTCACTGCAACCTCCACCTCCCGGGTTCAAGTGATTTTCCTGCCTCGGCCTCCCAAGTAGCTGGGTTTACAGGTGCCTGCCACCACACCTAACTAACTTTTTGTCTTTTTAGTAGAGATGGGGTTTCATTATGTTGGCAAGACTGGTCTCAAACTCCTGACCTCATGATCTGCCCACCTTTTCCTCCCAAAGTGTTGGGATTACAGGTGTGAGCCACCGTGCCTGGCCTATTTTCACTTTTTTGGAGAGACAGGGTCTCACCATGTTGCCCAGGCTGGTCTTAAACTTTTGGCCTCATGCTATCCTCCTGCCTTGGCCTCCCCTTAGTGTGATTTTGATTTGTATTCTTCCTATCAGAAGCAAGGTTAAACATCTTTTTACATATTATAGGGCCCTTTACATTTCTTTTTCTGTGAAGTGTTTGTTTATGTCTCTTATCCAGTTTTTAAATTGAGTTGGTTCTTTTCCTTCTACTTTTATCATTATTTTTTAACACTTGCTATGGACTAAGGGATCCCTCTACTTTTTTTTTTTTGTCAAATAATCCTTTATTAATATTTTCCTCTGTGCTTCTTAACTAGCTGAGCATTCCACAGCACCACTGTTGATGTCATCTATGATGTCATGAGGGTGGTGGCCATCAGCATCACAGCCCACAGACTGGGCAGTCCCCAGGATCTCTTTAATGGTTTCAGAGAGTTCTCTGGCTAGCGATCGGTGCCGCATCTGGTGAGCAATGTTGACGATCTCATCAGAAGTGATATTCCCACTGTGTTTAATGTTTTCTGTTTCGTCTCTTGGTGGTTCCTCGAGGGATTTGTTGATCAGGGCAGAGGCAGAAGGCACCACCTCAATCTGGGCCTGTCTGTTCTGAATGGTTACTTTCACTGTAATCCTCAGGCCCTTCCAGTCACCTGTTGTCTTGGCAATGTCATCACCAGCCTTTTTTGGAGATAGACCCAGGGGGCCGATCTTGGGGGTCAACACAGATGTGCCACCGACTTCACCCTCAGTGCACCGCAGGTATACGACTTTGATCTTGTTGGGGTCGACCTTTGGCGGCGTGGTGGAGGTGGCTGGTGTTGGATGAACCGGGGTTCGGGACGATGAAAGAAAGCTGCACTTTGGCCGCCTCCAAGCTGAAAGCTGAAAGCCAAAGGCAGGATCTCTCTACATTTAAAAGCTCTTTATGTATTAGGTATCCTAAGCATTTGTCTGTGATATGTTTGCCATTTGTCTTTTTACTTTGCTTATGGCAATATTTTTTCCTTGCAAAATGTTTTGCTCTTTCATTTGTATGTAGCTAAATCTATCACTCTTTCTCTTCAATTGCAGCTGAAGATTTAGCCATAGTTATGCAAGTCTTTTCTACTCCTAGGGATTTATTTATTTCCCTTTAATATTGTATGTTTCTTTTTTTAAAAAAAAGCAAGTCTCATATGGAATTTATCTTTTTGTATGTATGCTATGATAAATGGATCCACTTCTATCTTTTTTCATATAAAGTCTCAAATTTGATATTACTGGCTCCTCTCTCCAGCCCCCTCCCTTCGGATTGACTTTTCTTGGACATTTTATTATTTTCTTGGCCAAAGCTGGACATGGATCAAAATAAACGCTGTTCAGCTCCCTGGGTTTGGTTCCATTTCGCTGTCTGTTTTTCTTTCCTGGACGCTTTGTGATTTCAGCAGTGCTTTTCCAGCCATTCAAGGAGTTGTGACCTTTAGGGTTTGAGGAAGAGTGCATTAAAGGCCTGTCCAGATAGTGATTCAAGCTGGAGTGGATCCTGCAGACGTCCAGGAAGGCCCAGCTCTGTTTGGGTCGGGGGCTTGGAGAGCTGCTTCTCAGGAGCAGGATGGCTGCTCACGTGCGTGGAACACTCAGGAGTCCAGTTTTTTGTTTCCCGTTTTTATTTATTTATTTATTTATTTATTTTTTGAGACGGAGTTTCGCTCTTGTTACCCAGGCTGGGGTGCAATGGCGCAATCTCGGCTCACCGCAACCTCTGCCTCCTGGGTTCAGGCAATTTTCCTGCCTCAGCCTCCTGAGTAGCTGGGATCACAGGCACGCGCCACCATGCCCAGCTAATTTTTTGTATTTTTAGTAGAGACGGGGTTTCACCATGTTGACCAGGATGGTCTCGATCTCTTGACCTCGTGATCCACCCGCCTTGGCCTCCCAAAGTGCTGGGATTACAGGCTTGAGCCACCGCTCCCGGCCTTGTTTCCCGTTTTAAAAAAAATTTTTTCCTTGAGATAGAGTCTCACTCTTTTGCCTGGGCTAGAGTGCAGTGGTGTGATCTTGGCTCACGGCAACCTCCGTCTCTTGGGTTCAAGCGATTCTCCTGCCTCAGCCTCCCCAGGAGATGGGATTACAGGCGTCTGCCACCACGCCTGGCTAATTTATGTATTTTCAGTAGAGATGGGGTTTCACCATGTTGGCCAGGCTGGTCTTGAACTCTTGACCTCAGGTGGTCTGTCCAGCAGCTTCCGAAAGTGCTGAGATTACAGGTGTGAGCCACGATGCCCAGCTTGGAGCCTAGCTTTTGTTGATGACCCATGTTTCCTGTTTCCATCCCTCCCCTGCTCTTGATTTCCATCAGAGCAGGAATTTCTACCTTTCTAACTGGAAAAGACTGGTGTCGGGGGCGGAGAAGTGGGCAGAGGAAGGGAGGAGTAGAATACAGACATTGAAACCTCTCTTCTGCTCATGTAACTCCTAGCGCAGATCCATGTCATTAATGCTAACTACCATTTAGTGGTTATTTTCTATCGCCAGGCACCAGGTACTGTGCTAAGTGCTTTACACGGAATAAATCATGTAATCCCAACCTGTTAGTTGGCTACAGTTATTGCTTCCAGAAGGAAAAAGAGGCTCAGAGATAAAGTCACACAATTGGTAAGTAGTGGGATTTGGGTCTATGTGACATCAGATTCCAGACTTAAAACCTCTAAGTCTGTAGCCTACACACACACACACACACACACACACACACACACACACACACACACGCTCATAACAGCCTGTATTTCTGTTTGTTTTTCCATCTAAAGACTAACCCTACTCCACTTCTGCTGAGCTCAGATATGGGCAGCGTGCTTGGCTCTGACTGCAGGCATCAAGCTGGGCATGGGGAACCCGCGGCTGGAAAGAGGCTCCGTCTTGCCCTCCAGCTGTTCTGTTGCCAGCACAGTGCTTGGCACACATGGGTTCTCATCACGTATCTGTTGGATAATTAGATGAGAAAGGAAGAGGAATGTGTGCTGGTGATAAAGGGGCAGGAGTGGAGGCGGCTCAGGGAAAGATAACAGATTTAGGAGAAAACAGTAGGATGTGAGGGTGCTGGGCAGGCGGCTGGAAGGCACCTATGTTGCCGTGTGTTCAGAGGAACAGAAAAAGGGTGACTTCCAGGTCAAAAATGTTTTCAGGCTGGGCGTGATGGCTCATGCCTGTAATCCCAGCACTTTGGGAGGCTGCTTGATGGATCACCTGAGGCCAGGAGTTCCATACCAGCCTGGCCAATGTGGCAAAACCTCATCTCTACTAAAAACACAAAAATTAGCTGGTGTGGTGGTGGGCGCCTGTAATCTTAGCTACTCGGGAGGCTGAGGCAGGAGAACGCTTGAACCCAGGAGGTGGAGGTTGCAGTGAGCCAAGGTCGTGCCACTGAACTCCAGCCTAGGCGGCAGGCAGAGCAAAACTCTGTCTCAAAAAAATATACATATACCAAAAAAAAAAAAAAGTGATACTAGTTTTTCCACAATTTGATCGCTGAGCAAGTGACCTAGACTGTGGTAATTTTCTGTTAACTGGTATCTGACCCAACTGAAAAGCAAAGCAAAACAAAAACCTGACTGCCTTCTATAAGCAAGCCCGCGTGAAGGTATTCAGCTCACTCAGGTTGCAAAGGACAGAGAAACACCCGAATTACCTCAGGGGATGGACTTTTCCTAAGGATACGCTGGTGAGTAAGGAAAATAGGAAATGCCTTCTGCAGATCTCAAGAACTAGAGCACCATTCAGTATGCAATGGCCATGCACAGTGTGGCCTGGTGGAGAGGAGGGAACTGTTCTTCATCATCAAGAATACAGCTCTAGGCCTGGCGCGGTGGCTCACACCTGTAATTCCAGCACTTTGGGAGGCTGAGGTGGGTGGATCATCTGCAGTCAGGAGTTCAAGACTAGCCTGGCCAAAATGATAAAATCCTGTTTCTACTAAAAATACAAAAGAATTTATTCAGGCATAGTGGTGCACACCTGTATTTCCACCTACTGAGGAGGCTGAGGCAGGGGAATGGCTTGAACCCAGGAGGCGGAGGTTGCAGTGGGTCAAGATTGTGCCATTGCACTCCAGCCTGGGCGACAACAGCAAAACTCTGTCTCAAAAATAAAAATAAATTTAAAAAGAAAATGCAGAAATTTGGCCAGGCACGGTGGCTCATGACTATAATCCCTGCACTTTGGGAGGCTGAGGTAGGTGAGTCATTAAGGTCAGCAGTTCTAGACCAGCCTGGTCAACATGGTGAAACCCTGTTTCTACTAAAAATACACAAAAGTAGCCAGGCGTGGTGGTGGGTGCCTGTAATCCCAGCTACTTAGGAGGCTGAGGGAGGAGAACTGCATGAACTTAGGAGGTGGAGGTTGCAGTGAGCCACGATCACAACACTTTACTCCAGACTGGGTAACAGAGCAAGATTCCATCTCAAAAATAAATAAATACATACATAAAACTAAAAATAATACAGCTCTTCTAATTCCCAGTCCCTCTGGCGTTCTTGTATGAAAGAAAACATTTTTTAATATGTCCTTTGATTGCATGAAATTAAGGCAGACTCTGATCAAAGAGATGCCCCATTGCTGAGACAATGAAGAGAAAGGGTGTCTCTCTTGAGCAGAGAGGTGGTGAGAAATTTCCAGAATAGGGCTCCTTGCATGGAGATCATTTTAGGAATGGTCATCTCTGGTATGGAATTCTACTTATCCCCTGTAGAATTCTGGACTGGCCTACCCATGTTTCAAGCCTCCACTGAAGCTATGTTGACCCCTAGCCCAGTGTCAGCTGGTAAAGATAGGGAAGAGCTGAAGGAGGTGGACCTCCACAGGGAAGTGTTGAGAGGAAGGAGAAGCAAGAGGTGAAACTGACCAGGGAAATGGTAGCACTTCCTGAGCCAGGGCCCTGGACTTTCTGCAGTTGTAGAAAAGTGTGGGCCTGAGTTATTTAACTATCATAGAAAAAGTGATGCTCTGTGTGTAGGAAAAACAACACTCAACGTGCTTTTTCCTTCTCTCTCACAACAATCATCAACACAGAAGCCTTCTGTGACCAAATGTGAGGAGTTTTGTCTCTGCACACCAACCAAGCAATTAAGTCTGCAGCAGACACCCGCTGGATGTCTTCCAATTCAATTCTGACACTACCTACCTAGAGATAGCATCAGATCCCCCAGGTTGAGGGCTCAGTCCCCAAGACTGCCCCCCTACACTGGTCACAGGTTTGGCCTTGGGAACCCCTGACCCACCGGCTTCAAGTTGGGATTCCCACAACCCCCTCTTTGGGTTCAATTAAATAAACACCTACTTTTACTGGTTTATTACAAAGGCCAGAGATGAAGAGATGCACAGGGAGAACGGGCATGGAGTTTCCGTGCCCTCCCTGGGTGCAGCACCCTCTAGGGACCTCCATGTGTTCAGCTCTCCAGAAGCTCTTGAACTCCATCCTCTTGAGCGTTTAGGGAGACTTCACTCCATAGGCATGACTCAAGTGTGGACAGCCATGTCAAAATGTGATTGGACAAAAAGGATATGATCTAATGCTAATAGAGTGGGAAAGCCCAGCAAGTCCTGTCCAGATTCTTCTTGGTCTCTCTGTGCAGCCTTTCTTCCTCCAGGGTATGGGACACCCTTTCTGAAATGGGAGTCTTATGACCTATAATCTGTCAAATAGATCAAAGACAGAAAGATGGGCAAAGATTCCTGCCTTGGAGAGATAAAGGAGCAGATGAAAGGAAGGCAGGAGGTCAGAGAGATTGTGTTTACTGAGGCCTGAAACACCCAACATTGCAACAGACTGTAACAAGGGCAATGGGAGTTATAAACCAGGAACCATGGACAAAAACCTATATATAAATTACAATAGCACAGACTCCCAAAGGCTGAAAAACTTCTGGGCT